ACACTATTGACATTTAATCTTAATGCCATACAAGATTTATTACATGTATAAATAAATATACAAAGTCATATTAATAAATATTTGATTACCAAATATTAAATTTAAAAWAAAAATTCTTATTTTAAAAAATAAAAAATAAATGTATATAATTTATTTGAATACACTATAGGTACACACAAGGTAATTTACTTATAATATATTTATTTTACTTTTTAAAATTATTTCCCAGAGACTAGTTTATCGGATTGCTTTGAAATGCAAGTTTTCTACTTGGACGTTTAATGAAAAGTTGTAAAAAATAAGTGATAAACTTTTCTTTAAAATTTATTTTGACCAACAATTGTATTTTGTTCTTTATCGTTACATATCACGTTAATATTCATCTTTGCTTATTGTATATTTGTGTTATGTTTGGTAATTCTTTAAACGAATCACTTTATTTTATAGTTTGGGATCATATGAGTTGATATACTTAATAAACAATTAACCAGTAAATTCATCTGTATGTTATATAGCATGATTCAGACATAATGTTGGTGAGATGGACGTTGATTATAATGATCGCTTTTTCGACGACAAGCGTGGCCAAAGGACACGTAAACGTGACAACTCGACGGGATTCAACTGTGCCATCGTTCGTGGCGGAAAACGTCACCGAGTATGACGAAATGGCAAACTATACTGATGAGGAATATCACAATTACCTTGTCGATTACATTACACCTCAAAAATCTGAATGGGTATTTATTGTCATGCACTCAATGGTTTTCGTGGTTGGACTTATTGGAAACGCTTTAGTTTGCGTGGCTGTCTACAGGTAAGACACGTCATAATATTTCAGAAAGAAAAAAATTATAATGTTATAATATGATTATATTCAATTGAATTGAAATGTCTAGGATATTGAAAAAAAAAAACGTAACCAAAATTGTAATATAATTTATTTTAATTGTAAGGGTATAGACCAGGGGTGGCCAAACTGCGGCTCGCGTCATAGACTTTTGCGGCTCGCATCTTATCATAACATTAAAAAAAAAATAATAATACAATAATACAATAATACAATATCATATATATAAATATATATATAAAAATTATATAATAATATGACCTTTTTTTTTTTACATTCTGGCTCTTCCATATTTATTAATATATTTGGTGGCTCGCAAGTCTTTTCTCGCTGGCCACCACTGGTATAGACTGTCAAGAACTATTAAATTATGTATGCATATTCCCAGTTGTCTTTATTTTATTTACCTTCTTCTTGATTAAATTATGTCGAATTTAAATTAAAGAATGTATTTATTGAATTTTTTACAGGTGTTGTATTTATACTTTAAAATTAGTTTGCTATGTTTTATGTATATTTATATATATATAATTTAATATAATATAATATAATATAATATATATATCTAAATAGCATATAAATTCTACTATTGAAGTAAAATGGTTATTCTTATTCCAATSCAATTTTGCAATTTAAACTTATATAATGATTAAATTTTTTATTTTATTTTTAAACGATATTTTTAAATTAAACTTAAGAATTGACGAATCAACCCTATTTCGAAATTTTTCAATCCTTTTGTGGCACGTGAAGGGGTTGAGTAATCATGACCATATTTAACATAAATTACTTACTCATAGTAATGAACAAAGTTGGTGGGTAAGATATTAAAAATATTAATATTTTTTTTTCTTATAAATAAGGGCCACCCTAATATATATAAAACATAGAAAGCTAATTTTAAAATATTTAATAATTCAATAGATTCATTCTTTAATTTAATCAAAAAGAAGGCTAATAAAATAAAGACACCTTAGGACAACCTAAATAGATAAATACATTTAAGTAGAATAAATATAGTYAACAGCCCTTATTATTGTAATTAAATTGTCACCTAAAACATGTAAGTTGTAAGTAATAGTATAATGYAAATTATGTATAAAGCCTATGGCCCATGTCGCCGAAGCTATAAAGATTATAAAAAAAAAAAAAATTAAGACAACTGTGTGTATATAATTACATCAATTCGTCATAAATTAAATTATAATTTATAGACTAAGTAGATAGTAAACACAACACACATTATATAATAATAATTAACAACATAATAATAGGTATATCATACATATTTGTTTATATTAAACCAATATTTAAAAAAATATATCGTAGTAAACCTTCTACATAAAAACTGCTTACTGTTCATTTAGATAGTTCGATCAAAACCATTATTTTCTATTTTGCACACAAATGATTAACAATAACCGCTCCMTAATGTTTTCAAAAATATGTTTTTATTGCCATGAATACTGAATATTATTTTAATTTTATGAGTACTAAGCATGTTTGTTATTGATTATATAATTTATTTTAACAAAATTTCATTAGTCGTCTGACACTAAATACTTATTTTGATGTAATTTTGGATAGAAAACAAACTAGGAATTCACATATCATCTCCAAATTACAACAAGTTATAGGGCTAACAGAAATCAAATGAGAGTATTATATAATATTATCATAGAATATTGTATTACCCTAAAAAACATCACTTGTTATGAGATTAATACTTAAACCAATATTAATAAATAATAGTACACAAGTAAATTGTAAAATTTAATTTGTAAATATATATTTTATATAGTAGCAGTCTAATTTATATTGTTATATCTAAGTAAGTTATAATTATATTTCCTTAGCATTAAGTTCAGGTAACAAAAAACTATGGAAATTTTAATAATAATAATAATACAAATTTAAGATTAATGATAAACTAGTTTAGTATTTACCAGGGTTCGAAACCRTTTCAAATTTTCAAATTTTTGATTTCAAAAAAGGTTTTAAAAATTTGTTTGTTTCAAGACGGTTTTAGTTTTTGAAACGGTTTTTTCAAATTTTTATTTTATTTTTCTGCATCTAACAACTGTAAACCCAATTTTTATTATCTATTGACTATTAAGAGTTGAGCCTAAATCCCTAAAATATATCTGATTTGTCTATCGGCTAAATACGCACTCTGCAGCGCAGGTGCTCATACCTCATTGTATAAAGGATGTCCATTGTCCAGTTTACAAAAAGCTGCAGTGCTTCTTTCTAAAAAAAAAAGTGGAAAGACATTTACTTTCCTCTTCTAGACCTACTAAACTCATATAGTCTGAGAACCCCTGCAGTTCCAACAAAACTCGTACCTACGCCGATGCCACGGTCAATCAACCACCAGTCGAATTGTTTGGTTAGTTTAAATAAACTTATTAGCAAAATCTCAAATATTATGTATCCATTAATTAAGTCATTAATGACTGTTTTMAGTAATTCAAATTTAACCATATCGACTCCCTAATCATTCTTGTTACTTATAGGTTATTTTGATCATTTAGTTTTCATATTATAATTATTATTTGTATCAACAGTATATGTTGTTCTTTTGTTCTTTGTATTGTTATACAGTAGAAGCCGCTTATTTGGGACACGGATAATTTATACAAATATACAATCGCGTTATTGAAACAAATTGTACCGAGACAGACCGGCCTTATATAACATATAAACACATGCATAAACCAATCGATTATTAGAAATAATCGGTTAATTGACACATTTCACCTTGGTCCCAAAGTGTTCCTAATAAGCGGCTTCTATTGTCACATATCTAATTATTGAGCTATATTTATACGATAATTATATTAATCTATTGCTGTTGAACTATGATACTTTTATAMTGAAAGTTCTTAAGAAAGAAAAATAAACTTTTATCTCTTCTATATTTGTATAAATTGATTTTTATAACATTTAATAATTAGAATCAATAATTGGCTTTGGGTAAAAATAAATKATCTAAATATTTTATTGTTCTTATACTTATAATATTTAAACAAAATTATTGGTCTTTTTAAAATTTCTTTTGAATTTTTGTTATTATTTACGTTATATTTTTTAGGAATCGAACAATGCGAACTGTWACGAACTATTTCATCGTTAACTTGGCGGTAGCTGACTTTTTAGTGATTTTAATCTGCTTGCCACCAACTGTTGTATGGGATGTCACAGAAACATGGTTCATGGGCACTGTTGCTTGCAAAATGGTTTTGTACTTTCAGGTCAGTGTTTTTTTTTATTACTGTTTTCACAAAATTAGTTTGGTTTCGTAGCAGTGGTTATAGGTTGATGATATTTTATTAGTTGAAAAATCCTAACTATATAAATATACCTAATTTTTTTATTGGTGAAAACAGTATTTTTTCAATGAAAAGCTTTTTAGATAATGACATTTTAACGATAAATATTTGAAAAAAAAATCATAGAATTTAATTAAGTTTAAGCTCTTGATACTTCATAATTAATTTATTTGTATGCGTTCTTTAGATGCATCCTTCGCGAATTGTTAGTGAATGTCTGTTTATTCATTATTACTTGAAACAAAGGTTCCTATCTATTTGTGTACATACTGGCATAGAAGCATGACTGCTTGAGATTTTAAAATAATATTTGCTGCAATGAGATCCATTTAAGGTTTAAGAGAATTAAATGTTCCACATTGATATAAGATATATATATATATATATCTTAAACACATAGTAAACTTTAATTTAATTGAATTACATTATTCAAAAACTTTGATAGTAGCGTATCCTACATTGATATTTATAAACAGAGCTGTACCAAGCCATTTTTATCCGAAGGCAGGAGTCTATCAATGCGCCCCATGGGTGGTGCCTGGCGAGGTTTACAAACTTAGAGCTTTAATATATTTTAATGAGATTCGAAAAAATCAGAAAATGTATGATTAGATTTCAAGCAAAACAAGAAATACAATTTTTAGCCGCAATAATATAATTTTCAACTGCATATATTATAGATAAAAATAAAAATAATTAAAAAAAATGCATTTTGTTCAAAAATGATGATTACCTACCTAATATTTAATGAAACAAGTAGTATGCTCAAAAGTTTGTACCTTCCCATTAATTTTCTTGTAACCATTGAAATATCATATTGTTTTATATTTAAATATTGTTTTTTTTTTTTATTAAAACGTGCAAAATAATATCTGAAAATTTAATAAATATCATATATTATGTTACTATGTTAGATATAGTTTATATTATACTATTGTCATAAATATAGATTTAATAATATCATTTTTTAACGTGTCTTCTCACAATTTCTTAAAATTGACATATGATTAATGACTCAAACGATTTAGACTCGTTAAGTTAGGTTAATTTTAACCTGAATAAAATTAAGTCACAACAATATAACTAAATAAAATACATAACAATTTATATGATATGAATCCATACCCTACAGCAAATAGCAAGTTATTATCAAAGTATCTCAATTTCTTCGTGTATGAATTAATTACAAAAGATAGGCAAGAGAAAATTTTCTCAAGAGACAACATTTTTTWAAAAGATCGTAACTTTAGGGCTTATAGTAAATAAAAATATTTTTACACCATTAGATTTTAAAAATATTTTATAAATAGATATATTTACAGTGAWCCGAGTTGACTGATTTGTATACTAAGGCCAGATAAATGAGTCAAGAGCATAGCCACACAATTWAAAATGTTTAATACATTCTCAAAAGTTTGTAATTTTTATGTTATTTCAGTTTAAATAAGAGTTCAGTTATGATTTGGTAAAACAGCTTCATTAACAGTTAGTATTCTTATAACAAGTATAATATTATGTATTCTAAGTATAGAGTATATTTACCTAAGATCTATACTATTAATTTAAAAGTTTATATTATATAACCATTTTTTTTTTWAATTTACTAAAGTAGAAAATGACTAAAGGTTATTTTATCTTTATTTTATATTCATATTTTAATTTCGATTGTTGTTTTATTTTATTTAAGAAGACTATGACTACAAAATATTT